CAAACCTGAAGGAACCAAGGAAATAACACCTAGGAGAAAATGGCCCTGGAAGAGGGAAAAGAAACATGCTGTTTCTTAATGTGCTTAAGAAACAACAGGAACGTGTCTAGGGCAGGGTGAGTGAAGACTACAGCAGAAATAAAATTGATAGATAGGAAGGCTCTGCAGTATTCTAAGCAAAAAAGAAGACACATAGCCAAATGTATGCTTTAAAATAATCACTCTGACATTAGTGTTAGTAAATTGAAGGATTTAAGGGAGAAAGTAAGGAGGCCATTTTAGAGGTAATGATACTGGCTTGAGCTTGGTAGGATTGAAAGTATGAGCCTTGGTAGAACTATGGATATTTGATGTGCTGATGAACTATGTGAAGTGTGAGAGATTAGAGTTCAAAACAATTGCAGGTTTATGTTTAGTCTTGAAATACCCAAAGGATTAATCTTTTAATCCAACAAAGAAACCTGTGGGAAAAGCTGCTTGATGGCGGGGGGGGTGGGTGGGGGGGTGGCAGGAGGGAGGGGAAGGTGGGTATAAAAATAAAATGTTGAAAAACAGAAAAGTAAATGTCCTTTAGTAAGCATGAGAGACTAGAATATAATGCATGAAGAATTGGTTTTAGATAGGGGCTCAGAAAGCTAATAGGGGCAGAGTCTCTGGGTAAGGATGAATGTGAATTGGTAAATGATAATAGGTTGACAATTTTTACAATCAGGTAGTAAAACACATACCTAGTTCATTCTGCAATATTCAGATGTAAATTCTGTATTATTATTTATTAGTATGCTAATAAAAAGAGAGATATTTGATGTTCTAGATATCATGTGTATTATAAAATTAGAATTACTATTTACGTTGTTATACATGAGTCTGTTATGACATTGGTTAATGTCAGTCAGTCTCAGAGGCTGTTCACCTCTAAATGCATTAACAATCATATTTATGAGCTTTCCTACCTTGCAAGAAAATCCCTACATATAGTATCAAAATCCTGACAAACTGAGGTTTTACTCTTAAATTCAGCTAACTACTTCAGTTGATTCCCTTTGATTATGTTATATATATCATATATATTATATATTTATATATATTAACATATTTAATGTTTTTTATTTTGAGAGAGAAGGGGAGAGCACACATGCTAGTGGGGAGGGGCAGGGAGAGAGATAGAGGGAGAGAGAGAGAGAATCCAAAGCATGCTCCATGTTGTCAGTGTGGAACCTAATGCAGGACTTGACTCATGAATCATGAGACCATGACCTGAGCCAAAATCAGGAGTTGGATGCTTATCTAACTGAGCCACCCAGGCACTTCTAGAATTTTTTTAAATCAATTAATACATCTTTTAGTATTTTGAACACTAATTTTGTGTAAGTTAAGTCCTACAATAGGCTATGGAGGATTCAGAAGAAAGATAAGCAATAGTTCTTCCCCTCAAAAGTGCTTGTTTTAATTTTTCAGTAGTTCTGTTGTATTCTCTATCTTTCATTCTCTTGTTTTCTCTCTTCCACCACCATTCATTTTTCCCAGCTCCTGTAATGACGCCCACTTTTCCATGTATCTAACTTCATATGTCTTTTTAAACCAAAATACTTCACCTGATTCCATTCCCTCTTGTACCATCTTATAATTTGTAAGTATTTGGCGTATGTATAGGACCCTGTAGATTAATTGGAGCTAGTATGATAAATGTATGCCTACCTATGGGGTTCTTAATTGGAAATGCTCAAATACATTACCACACTCTTCTGTTTATTTCAGTCTGTATTGTTTCCTTTCATATCAATAAGATTACCTTTGGCAATGCCAGAATTATGAACATTGTTTTTGTCAGCAAAATATTATGAATTGATATTAAATTTTAAGTTTCTTAAGAAGAAATGCTTAAACTATTGCACATTGCTTTTAAATATTGTCCATCAGAAAAACTGATGCTTTGTCCATTCTTAAATGTATCCTGGGGAAGTACTTTTTCTGTGTTAGAAAGCTCACTTCCAAGTTGTACTTGTATACTTCCAAGTTCCACTCTTTTTCAGCTGCACCAAAATTACTCAGTAGTTTCAGCTGCACCTCAAATGACAACAGAAAGAGCTTGAATCAGAGACTAAACCCATATATTCAGAATTAATCAAAGAGAGGTCAAACCATAATAATGCTTTATTCTATAAACTAGTTCTAAGAGATTTCTCTCTAAAAAAAAAAAATCTAAATTTCTCCCAAGAGATCATTGCATTTGTCATGCTTCAGCCTTTGGAAAACCACTCAAATTATCTATAATAGAGAGCTTCAGACTGAGACTCTATATCTTGGCAGATTAGTGATGCAAGGATGTATCTCTTGAGTTGAAGACTAATAACTAAGATATCCTTTGTGAAACAACTTAGTAGGAAACTTTGGGGTGAGAATTTTGTGTTGGAGGAATTTGAAATTGGAGAAATATTTTAACTGTTTTTATGTTCCTTTATTATTAAGGAAAAGTAATCCATATTTTCTTGTGCATGTTAAGGATGAGCAGACTCAACATGGTCATTTGCCTTAGGACTTTATGATTGCTTAGTATACAGCATTGAAGTTGTATGTCCCATTTTGTGGTGATAATAGCAAAGCTTAAGTATACCTAGGCTTAATTGTATTTTCTTTCCCTGACATTTTCCAATTTAATTAAAGCTTCCATAATGCCAAGTGTTATTCCTATTAACAGGAGGCACTGAAGTCATGAATGTTTTGCTTCCTGTGTATTCAACCCCATGATATTTTAGATTTTTTAAAATGAAAGAATGGCACAGGCCTGGCACACAGGGGACACTCAGTAACTATTGAGCTTTAATGGCGAGGATCTTAATAATATAATATTAATAATTGCTTAAATCATTAGCTTTCTATATGTCTAAACTGACTCTAGATTAAGAAGCCCTATTTACATATTGTTTTCACATGTAGATGGTATTTTGTCATTGCAATTTGACATTAAGAATAGTGTGAAAGACTCTTGCCCACTCCCTCCCAAAAAATAGTGATTATATTTTGAAATATGTCATATATTGTTGTACATATTGTCAGGTGATTTTTGAGTCGGTTGCTCCATTACATCCTTGAGCTTCCTAGCATCCCCACTTCCCCTCTAGGTTTGAGACAGGAATTTTAAGGTGGGTAATGAAATGAAGTTCAGGGATGGTGAGGTCCATTGGTGAGGTCCAGATATGAAATTAGGCTCAAGAATAGCTTTGAACACATTATTTGGTGAATTTAAATAATCAACAACTCAACAGACTTATTTTTTATTTTGACTATTGCTTTCAAATTCCATTTTTTTAAAGAGACTCATAAACTAAACAATGACAAATATCCTGTTTTGGATTAGACATAGTATGTTTAGAGGAGATTCAGAAAATAGATAAGACTACCTCTTGCTAATTTTCTGACAGAGCTATTACTTGGTTAAAACCACACCAACATAATCCCTATTCCAAACTACGTATTCTTGAGTGCTTAGGTGTTTGGAGTATGTTAGCTTCTTATTAACACTTAGAATAGAAAAGAAAATAAATCTATTCAGTCTGGTGTGACAGCTAAGAAAAATAGCAATTAGCAGAATTTGAGTGATTTTGAGGAAGAAAATGAATTATTACCACTTTTAAAAACCCAATGTTCAGCAATTTTGTTTGAAAAGATGACTGCAGGAATCATTTGTCTCTTTCTGCCTCAAATCTATACAAGATTGATAGGAAATTATAAGGAACATTTTATTAGAAAAAAATTTAGACTTTGTCCTATTTCTTGCCTGTAAGTCTTCTAACACTAAAGTTTTTTTTTTTTTTCTTAAGCCACCATATGATTTTAAACAGTTTATGTGACCTCAATTGATTTGATAACTTCTGGTCTAAAGATCTCTTATTAAGTTTGTTACTAATCATTAATAACGGATTTCTTTAAAAGGCAGGAAAGTATGAACTTGCTCCAGGGAAAATTTTACTTACATATATAGAAAATTAATGTATACAATTAAGGAAATTTGTGAATCCAAAAGCACGAAATTCAAGTATTAGGGCAAAAAGAATACTTTATTGGGAGCTATTTCTGTTCCATTGATTGAGTCTAACATCTATACATTTTTGTTTTTATTACTGTTCTCTTTTTTCTTTTTCTCCTCTTTTCAAAATTATGTTAAGCCTTTGACTTTTAATCAAGATGGCATAAAAGGTATCAGATTTGACCTTCCATTAGAAACTACCTAAAACCAGTGATAACAGTAAAGTAACAGTGAAAACAAGCATATAAATATAAATGTATGTCAAGATTTTAAACACAGATAACAAAATAGACAGAGAGAAAGGAAAGGTTGAGCATTCAGACTGACTCAGTTTAGTATCTTTGGATTAACCAAACAAAGATAGTAAAAGAAAACCACAGACAAACATTTTTCACAAATATAGATGCATAAAATCCATAATAAAATCTCAGTACGTAGAATTCAGCAATCTATAAAAATAATCATACACCATGATCAAGTGGGATTTATTCTATAAATGTAAGCTTGGTTCAATAATTAAAAATTAATCCATGTAATCCTCCATATTAATAGACTGAAGGAGAAAAATCAGATTATTATATCAATCAATGAAGAAATATGTTTGATGAAATTCAACATCTATTCATGATAAACAGTCTCAGAATAAATAATAATAATAGAGAGGAACTTCCTCACTTGATAAAGAACTTGTGTAACACCTTAAAGCTAACATGTTTTATGATTAAAGACTGGATGGTTTAACCCTAATAGAGGGAACAAAACCAGGACATACTCTCTCAAGACTTATTCAGTATAGTGCTGAGAGTTATTTTTTAATGCTTATGTATTTATTTGAGAAAAAGACAGAGAGAAAGAGAGAGAGAGAGAGGGCCCACACAAGTAGGGGAGGGACAGAGAGAGAATTCCAGGTAGGCTCTCCTTTATCAGCAATGGAGCCTGACTCAGAGCTTGAACGCACTAACCTGTGAGATCATGACATGAGCCAAAATCAAGAGTTGGATGCTCAACCAACTGAGTCACCAACGCTCCCTCTGAGTATGATGCTAGAAGCTCTAACCAGGTCTATAAGGCACTAAAAGAAAATAAGAAGCATATATATTAAAAAAGAATAAATACAAATGTTCTTTTTTTGTCTATGCAGGAAATCCTAAGAAATACACATCTGTAGAACTAATAATTGATTTTACTTGAGTTTATTTAAATCTAGAAATTTATACTTTATTAACTTATGTTTGGTTCTGATGGTTACCTTTATATCATGGAATTCATGAATATATGTCTTAATAACTGTTATAAAGCTATGTACTTCCATTCTAAAAATAACAAGTTAGCTTTTGCTTATTTACATCTGGTGACTATCCATTAAATCTGCTAATTATTTTTTGGTATGAGCTAAGTAGAAGCATTGCTATATAAATTATTTCCCCAAGTTACGATTACAAAACTCCAGCAGGTCTTTGCTATTTTGTTTTTCTTTAAAAGTTATTTAATTCATTTAAACAATAGCAACAACAATACAGTCCAGCCATCTACTCCCACCTTTTACAACTATCAGTCTGTTCTCTGTATTTATATCGTTGTTTGGTTGGTTGTTTTTTGGATTCCACATTTAAGAGCGATCAGATGGAATGTGTATTTCTCTGTCTGACCTATTTCAATAAGCATAATGCCCTTGAGGTCCATTCATTTTTCTCAAATGGTAAGATTTCATTCTTTTCTATGGATGAATAATACTGCTTTATAATCTGGTGGTTTCCATATCTTTGCTATTATAAATTATGCTGAAGTGAACATGGGGGTACATGCATCACTTTAAATTAGTGTTTTTGTTTTCTCTTTTTAAAATTTGTTTAAGTTTATTTATATTGAGAGAGACAGAAACAGTGTGAGCAGGGGAGGGACAGAGAGAAAGGGAGAGAGAAAGAATCCCAAGCAGGCTCCATACCGTCAGTATAGAGCCTGATGTGGGGCTTGAACTCACGAAACTGTGAGATCATGATCTGAGCGGAAACCAGACCCAGACACTTAACTGACTGAGCCACCCAGGTGCCCCAAAATTAGTGTTTTTATCCATTTTTTTGGATAAATACTCAGAAGTGGAAAGCTGCATCCTATTGTATGAATAGCTAATATATTTTTGATTAAAAGGAATAAAGTAGGAAAAATCTGTCTACTCAATTTTAAGACTTATTGTATAGCTATAGAAAATAAAACTATGTAGTACTGATGGATGATTAGACACACAGTGCAATGGAACAAAATTGAAAATCTAGAAATAGACCAACAAATTATGCAATTAATTTTTGACAAATAGGTAAAAGTAAATTAATGCAGCTTTCTTTTCAACAAATAATGTTGGACCAATTGGGTATTGATAGTAAAACTCAAGGAAATGAAACAAACAAAAACCTTGACCTAAATGTCAAACTTTTTCACATAAGTCAAAATGGCTCATAAATTTAGAGCCTGGGTGACTCAGTCATTTGAGCGTCTGGCTCTTGATTTTGGCACAAGTCATAATCCTGAGGTACTGGAATCGAGTTACATGTTAAGCCCTGAATCAGGCTCCGTGCTGGGCTTGGAGCCTGTGTAAGATTCTCTCTACCCCTCCCCTGCTCAAGCATATTCTCTCTCTCTCTCTCTCTCTCTCTCTCTCTCAAAAAAGCATAAATTTAAATGTAAAATATAAAACCAAAAATCTTTTTGAAAAAAGTTCAGGATCTAGATAGAGCTTGTTGAAAACATCTCTTGCAACATTTAGGTTTTGCAACTAAAGCAGAATAGATAAAAGAAAAATTGATAAACTGGACTTCAAAATTGAAAGTTTACTCTGCAGAAGATTCTGGTAAAGGTCTCAAAAGACAAGATACAGACTGGGAGAAAATAATTGTGAACCATATATTCAATAAAGGACTGATATATTTAATATTAAAAATACTATAATAAATAAAGAATATATCAATATCCTTTATATCTTTAATATAACTGAACATTTGAATATATTGAATACTTATATATTCTTGAATTTAAAAGTTATTATATAAACAACTTTCAATGCTACTGTAAAATATTTTAACTAGAGAATTTAAACAAATAAAAAGATCCCCAAACAGTAAACAAACAGAAACAAAAACATTCCTAATGTTCAACACTAAACAAACAATCCAGTTAGAATATGGACAAAAAACATGAAGAGAAAAATTCACTGAGGAGAGCTACGGATGTCAAATAAACACATGAAAAGATGTTTAATTTCATTAGCTATTAAGAAAATACAAAATAGGGGCACCTGGGTGGCTTAGTCGGTTAAGCGTCCGACTTCGCTTAGGTCATGATCTCGCCATTCATGGGTTCGAGCCCCGCGTCGGGCTCTGTGCTGACTGCCAGCTCAGAGCCTGGAGCCTATTTCAGTCAGAGTCTGTATCTCCCTCTCTCTCTGACCCTCCCCTGCTCACACTGTCTTTCTCTCTCTCTCCTAGAAATAAATAAAAATATTTAAAAAAAAATACAAAATAAAATCTGAATGAGATAACACTACACAGCTATCAGTATGGCTAAAATACAAAATAATGACAACACCAAAATAGTAACATAGAATATTTAGAAATTAGATCACCTATGCACTGCTGGTAGGGTTGTAAAATGGTATAGCCACTCACTCTAATATGGTACAATTTGGAGTTTCTTAAGAAACTTCAGTTTGACATACAACCAGTATTTATCCCAGAGAAATGAAAATCTGTATATGAATATTTAGAACTGCTTCACTTGTAATAGCCAAAAACTAGAAATAGATTATATATTCTAACACTGGTGAATGGTAAGCAAACTTGTAGTATGCCTATACTAATAAATACTACTCAGCAATAAAAAGACACAAATTGTTGATAAGGGGAGCAAGCTTGATAAAGTTCCAGAGAATCATGCCAAGTAATAAAGGTCAATTCCAAGGAGTACATACTGTATGATTTCATTTATATAACATTCATAAAATGGCAACTTTATGCCATGAAAAACAGATTAGTGATTGCCCAGGGTTTAGAAGCTATGGAGAAAGAAGAATGTGGGAGTGGTTACAAGGGCAACATGAGGGATCTTTGTTTTGATGGAAATATTCTGTATCTTAACCGTAACGATGTATCCTGGTTGTGATATTGCACTATGGTTTTGCACAGTTGCCATGAAAAGTAACTGGGTAAAGGGCACATTGAGTATTATTTTTTAATGGTTATGTGTAAATTTAATCATCTCAAAATTTCAAAAAATTATAAGTTAAAGGATGTGCAAATACATACCATGCCAACACTAACCAAAAGTAAATTTCAATAGTTATATTAACTTCAGAAATTTGACTTTAGGGCAAAGGCTCTTACCAAGAATAAAGAATGTGACTTCATACTCTGAAAGAGACCCATTCATTCTGAGGGCATACACACTCTACATGCTTATATCTAATAACAGAGGTTTAATATATATGAAGAAAAAGCTGTTAGAATTAAATAGAGAACAAACACTCTAAATTATAGTCATAGGTTTCAGCAATCTTTTCTCAATGATTGACAGAACATGTAGACAGAAAACCTGTACAGATGCAGGGGATTTAATCAACACTATCAAACAACATGCCTAGTTGATATCTGTAACACTCCACCCAACAAGAGTATAATACAGTTCACTTTTACATTCTTTCAAGTGTATCCAGAACATTTATTAAGATAGAATATATGTTTAGATATAAAACAAGTCTGGATAAATTTTAAAGCATTCAGATGATATAAAGTAAATAGAAATCAATAATGAAAGATTTCTGAAAAATCTCCAAGTATTTGGAAACTTAATAGCAAATTGTTGAATACCTCACTGGTCAACAACAAAATCAAAATATAAAATAATAATACTTAGTAATTAATAATAACATGAAAATACAACATTCTAACATTTGTAGAATGTTACTGAATCAGTACTTATGGTTCTATCTATAGCAGTAAATACTAATAGTAAAGAAAAAGAAAGTTCTTACATCAGCATGGTATTGGCATAAAGACAGACATGTAGATCAGTGAAATAGAAAAACAGGAATACTGAAATAGATCTACGTGTATATGGACAATGACATATATATAACACAAATAGAAAAACAAATCAGTGGATACTGGGTTCTGTTTTCAACAAATGTGCCACATCTGTTCTATATATAAAGCATAAAATAAGGATACTTTGCACCATTAATCAAAACTAACTCAAAATAGAACATAGAACTAAATTTAAAACCTAAAATTATAAAACATCTAGAAGAAAACATAGGAAAACAACCTCTGTGGATGTAAAATAGGAGATTTGTTGATACCATGCTTTAAATAGGATTCATAATGGAATTGGTTGATAACATTTTTTTCATCAAAATTAAAGACTCATATTCTCTGACAGACTTAAGAGAATAAAAGGCAAGCCACAGAAATTTTATCCAGTTTATATATCTAGTAGAAGGATAATACCTAGAATATATATGGAATTCTAAAAAACGATATATAAATGGCTAAAAAAATTGAACAGACATATTGCTAGAGAAAATGTACAAATAGCAAATAAGCACATGAAAAGATGTCCAGCATCACTAATTGTTAGGACAAGGCAAAAGAGAACTACCATGAGATACCACTGTAGTGACTACACGTAGATTAGACAGGTACAATGAAAGAGACTTGCTATATCAACTGTTGACAAAAATGTGGAACATTAAAACACACACTGATTGAAGGACGATACATGGAACAGTTACTATGGGAAACTGGTTCTTAAAAAATGAAACATACGTCTTCCATATGATCTATCCATTCCATAGATACTTAAGAGAAATAAAATATTTTTACAAAAATATTTGGAATGTTTACAATGGCTTTATTCATCATTAATTTGGAACTAACTCAAATATCTGTTCACAAGTGAAATAGCAGTATGTCCATACAATGGAATAATACTCAGCAAAAAATGAATGAAACATTGATACAAGCTACAATATGAATGGAAATGAAAATAATTACACTGAATTTAAAAAGGCAGACAAAAAAACTACTTGTATGATTTCATTTATGTAATATGCTAGTAAATGCAAACTAATTTCTGTTGACCAAAAAGCAGACCAGTGGTTACAACAGCAATGGATGTAGGTTTGGGAAGGGATGCAAAGTTGTCGTTAAGCAGGAGCAAGAAGGCTGAGGGGCTCAGTCGGTTAAGTGTCTGATGTTGGATCATGAGTCAGACTTCATGAGTTCGAGCCCCACATCAGGCTCTGTGCTGACAGCTCAGAACCTGGAGCCTATTTCAGATTGTGTCTCCCCCTCTTCTCCGCCCTTTCCCCACTCACTCTCTTAATCTCAGAAATAAGCATGGAAAAAAAAAATAGGCAAGAGGGAAATTGTTCACTGTCTTTACAGGCTGATTGTTTCATCCATGCTACATATTTCAAAACTTATAAACTGTATACTATAAACAGTTGCAGTTTGTTCTATATTGGCTATATATTAATAAAACACTTAAAATTACATGCTACTGGTCCAATTTTTTAATTTATTGTTTTAATTTAAATTCAAGTTAGTTAAATTACAGTGTAGTCTTGGCTTCAGGAGTAGAACCCACTGATTCATCTCTTGCATATGAAATCCAATACTCCTCCCCAAAAGTGTGGTCCTTAATGCCCATCACCAATTTAACCCATCCCCTCTCCCCTCCAGCAACTTTCAGATATCATATGATTCCACCGGTATGTGGAATTTGAGAAACACAACAGATGAACATAGGGGAAGGAAAGGAAAAATAAGATAAAAACAGAAAGACAGAGGCAAACCATAAGAGACTCTTAAATACAGAGATCCAATTTTAGATAAATTTTAGAAAAAAAAAAGATTCTAAAAATAAAATAAGCATCTTGTATTTTGATTTTCTTTTGTCTTTATTGTGCTTTATTGAGAGATATAAAGCATAAACTGTGAAAAAGCATGCTTGAAAGGCATCTAAGATATTTTTCCTTGCTTCCAGCAACTTCCATGTCCAAACCTTCCAGAGCAGATGACTGATGTTCTCAAAATGAGATCTCCAGAGCAGAGGCTTCTCAATCTCTTTCTCCAAAGGTCAGTAATATTTATTTACATGTTTTTCTTTTTGTTTTAAGCTCATTTCTAATGAGTTCCCATTTTGATACATACTTTACTTACTCTTAAATTTTGAGTGATAATAATTAAGTCAGTACTTACTGTTCTTTACTTCAGACTTGATTAGCCTCAGTCATGTTCAGTTTTGCACAAGTCATGAAGTCTATCATGTAACAATATAAAAGATAGTTTCAATATAGTAATGCATAAAATTGGAAATGCAGGACAGTATTAGCTCTTCAATTTGTTAAAACTCCTGTTTTTCTTTCTTTAATTTTATAGCTTGAATAAAATGTCAGCACTTTAAGTAAAATAAACGCATTGTTTCCCTGTATCATATATAATTCCTTTAATTAAGTATTTGCTAGTCCTATATGATAGGCATTAAGAATTCTGTACATTTATTTTTCTAATAGTTTATAATATATATAGCATATATAAATAATTATTTTTGTACCATGATGAATATAAAAAATATTGATAAAGGTCAGAGAAAATAAGCAGTGAAGATTTATTGTAACCTTATGAATAAGAAGATACTTGAGCTTCTTTAAACTATGTCAGGAGCGCCTGGGTGGCTTAGTCAGTTAAGCGTCCGACTTTCGCTTAGGTCATGATCTCGCGGTTCATGGGTTCGTCTGTGCTGACAGCCAGCTCAGAGCCTGGAGCCTGTTTCAGTCTGTGACTCCCTCTCTCTCTGACTCTCCCCTGCTCACGCCGTCTCTCTCTCTCTCTCCTAGAACATTAAAAAAAAAAAATTTAAACTATGTCAATGCAGTTCTGAAGTAATACCAGTAATAGTCCAATGGAATAGATTTATAAGCAATAACTATATACTGTTAGCTGTATGAAACCAAGTATCTAAAATAATATCACAAGGGTACCTGTGTGGCTCAGTCAGTTGAGTGTCCTGCTCTTGGTTTCAGCCTAGGTCATGATCTCATCATTCATGTGTTCAAGCCCCATGTTGGGCTTTGCAGATAGTGGGGAGCCTGCTTGGGATTCTGTCTCCCTGTTTCTCTGTCCTTCCCTCTCTTCGCTCTCTCTCTCAAAAATAAATGAATAAACATTAAAAAAATAATAATGTCACAGGGGTATCTGGGTGTTTCAGCTGGTTGAGTGTCTAACTCTTCATTTTGGCTCTGGTCATGCATAATCTCACAATTCTTGAGATCCGGCCCAGTATCAGGCTCTGCACTGACTGCATGGAGCCTACTTGGCATTGTTTCTCTCCCGCTCTATTTGCCCCTCTCCTGCTCACATTCTCTCTGTCTCTCTCTCTGTCTCTCTCTCTCTCTCAAAATAAGTAAATTAACATTAAAAAATAAAATAATATCATATTCCTAGAGTTTATGGAATATTGTGGTTTTTACTTTTGTCTTTATAAATGATTTACTTCAGTAATGATTGTTTTCTGTTATCAACTCACTTAATCACTTCTACTTACTTAGATCAGTATACATTCATTAGAAGGACAAAAGCATCAATATCAATTTTTATCATAAACTTATAAGTCACCCAAATAAACTATTGCTCAACTAAGTGAATAAATAAATAAACAGATGGCTAGATGAATGAATGTTAAAATAATCCCAGTTAGAATGCAAGAAAACAACTGTCGATATGAAGCAACTGAAGCACTCATAAGCTGTTGATGGGAATTCAAAAATGGTCCAGCCACTTTGGAAATAGTTTTACACTTTCTTATGACATTAAACATTATACTTATCATATAATCCTGCAAATCAGTACTAGGTACTTACTGTAGAAAAGTGAAAACTTATGCCCACACAAAACTTGAAAAGAAACATTGATTGTAGTTCTGATCTTAATTGTTAAAAACTGGGAACAACCCAAATATCCTTCAACAGATAAATGTTAAACAAATAATGGTACTTCCTGCAGTGGATGGAATGCTACTCAATAATAAACAGGAGCAAACTGCTAGGAGACACACTTCTTACTTCTGCTCAAGGATTAATCTCAAAAACATCATGATAAATGAAAAAAGCCAGACTCCAAGGCTACATCCCTGTGGTTTCATTCATATGAAATTCTGGAAAATACAAAACTGTAAAGACAGATAACATGTAAGTAGTTTCTAGGTCTAGGGCTGGAAAAGGGATTGGTTAAAAAGATATATGAGAGGACTTGGGGAAGTCATTGAAATGGTCTACATCTTATCTATAATTGTAGTTACACAAAAATGTTTGCCAAAACTCATAGAAATATACACCAAAAAGGATAAATTTAATTATACAAGAATTACACTTAAATAAATGAATAAAATAGAATAATAAATAAAATAAATAAATGAATAAAAGTAATCATTTACTGTTTATAGATTTTTGTCTGAAAATTATGGTTTTATTTTTTTCCTTATTTATAAGTGATATATTTCAACAATGATCATTTTGAGATTTTGAGTAGCTTCAATCTGTACTTCTCTAAATAAATATAAATTCATTTTAAGAACAACTAAAAGTATAGTCTCAAATTCTAAGCTAAATAAGTTTTCAAATCACTCTAGCATATTGTTTTTCAAATACATACTAAAATGAATAAATACAAAGACGATGCTAGTAAAAATGCTAACACTCAGACCCTATTAGTGATTTCTTGAAATTCATATTTTGTATGATCGTTTGTTTCTCTGTCATAAAAAATTATGATATTGTTCACTTTATTACCATTAAAATCACAAAATAGTCTTGAAGAATTATGAGGCAAAAAAATCTGGGCAGTCTTTGACTTCTTCAGTTTCAGTGCGTGGGAGGATGCTTTTGATAGGAAAGGATGTGCAAAGGAGTTAAGCCTTCACAAGCAATATGTTTTTCTCAGATTACTCATATTTACCCCTAAAAAGGCAAAACAAAATTGCTATTTTGTTTGTTTATAGGAGGAGTGAAATGAAACAAGTAATTTATAGTGGGGAGCATCATCACTGTTTAAAATCTTAAAAGTAAATGTCAGACACTATTGCAACTTTAGCCAGTTATTTCTATCCTGTACCTTTGATTAATATCTGTAAATCTTTAGATATGGAAAAAATACTGAGACGATGAACCATATAAGAATTCTGAAACATTTGGTAAAAGGATTAAAAAACTGGGTAAAAATGAATAAACAAATGAGCAAATAAAAAGCAGAAACAGACCCATAAAAACAGAAGCAATTGATGGCTACCATAGAAGAGGGAGATGGGAGAATGGGCAAAATGGGTGAAAGGGAGGGGAAATATGGGGATATGGGCTTGCAGTTGTGGAATGAATAAGTAATGAGAATAAAAGATACAACATAGGGAATATAGTCAATGGTATTGTAATAGCATTGTATGGTGACAGATGGGAGCTCTAGTTCTGGTGAGCATAGTATAATGTAGAGTTGTTGAATCACTATGTACACCTGAAACTAATGTAACATTGTGTGTCAACTATACTGCAATGAAAACAAACAAACAAAAATTTAAAAAGAAAAGAACAGAAAATAAAATAAAACGATATACTACTAGATTAGGTAAATCAGTTACTCTGAGCTCCAAGTATCTTGCCTAACCCTTCTTTGATCTGCTAGCAGCCAGATTTAGTGCCTAGCCTTGATAGGCTAGAGAAAATTGGCCTGGTGGGCTTCCAGGCATACCTTCTTGAAGGTGGGAGGGAGGGAGGAAGCCAGAAATTCCCAAGTGAAGGATGGAGTATGAATAAGAAGGGAGCATGTATTAAAAACATCCATTGTGTGCATTAGGGATCTTCAAAGTTAGATTTCTTTCTTTTTAGGAGACTTATTTATGCTTCTCATTATAAAAATCATGATTGGAAGCATTGCTGACATCTACTGAATACCTGTTTTGTGAAATGTTTCATTTTAAGAGGCTTTCATTTAATAGCTTATTTTATCCTGAAAACAGTATTGTAATTATCTTCATTTAAAGATGAAAAAGTGAGACACCTGAGTGGCTCAATTGGTTAAGCATCCGACTTTGGCTCAGATCATGATTTCATGGTTTATGAGTTTGAGACCCTTGTCAGCTCTTTGCTGACATCTGAGTGTAGAGCCTGCTTTGGATTCTGTGACTCCTCCTCTCTCTGCTCCTCCCCCACTCACGCTCTGTCTATTTCTCTCAAAAATATGTAAACAATTTTTCTTTTAAATGTAAAGATGAGAAAGATAACTAATAAATGAATTTCAAGTTACAAATCAGGAACTTGAACCTTGGTTGTAAAGCCAGTCTTATTTTGCACCGTGTACTTTTCTTGTGTGTTTTTTAGAGAGTGAGAGGGAGCACAAACAGGGGAGGAGCAGAGGAAGAGAGAGTATTTTAAGCAGGCTTCATGCCCAGTGTGCGGAGCCCAATGTGTAGCTTAATCTCACAGCTGTGAGATCAGGACCTGAGCCAAAATCAAGAATCAGATACCCAACCAACTGAGCCATCTAGGTGCCCCTGCACTATGTACTATACCATTACATACATGTACTATTACATAACACCCTGAATGAGAAAATTTTCTTTAGAAAATACATGTTTTTTTCATTGTGATTGCCCTATGCATTTTGTCATTTCTAAGACAGGAATATTACCAAAAAGTTATCTGGTATCCAAATAATTTATGGAGATAATTATATTGTATGGAAACTTTTAAATCTGTATACATTTATAATTCAGATGCAGGCATATTAAGATAATTAATGTTTTACATTGTTATAATTTCAGTGAAATACTTTGCAGATTTTATGAGAATATCTTTATATGCTATGATATTTTAGGGGTTCTTTGAGACATGATGAATGCTAATTTGGACCTTAGTTTTTGCCTTTTATTCCAAAAATAAAGGGCTAAGGAGTTTTCCTTTATAATGTTAACATTAAAAAGGTCTCCTAGAGGGCACTTGTTGTGATGAGAACTAGTTATTATATGTAAATGATGAATCACTAAATTCTATGCCTATAATTATTAATATTGTACTATGTGTTAACTCATTAGAATTTAAATAAAAAACTTGAAATATTTAAAAAAATAAAAAATAAAAATGTGGGGGGAAAACAGGTTCCTTAAAGCAAAATATATCTCCAAGGCATATTCATTCATTTAACAAATATTTTCTGATAGTGCCTACTGTGTTCTGTGTTGTGGAAACACAGAGATGAACAAAGCTAATAAAGTAC